TTTTTTTTTTTTTTTTTTTTAGCAAACCCATTATAGATTCAGCCAGGCCTACAATAGAGTGGTATGTAGTAAGGGACAGGGTTCAACATATCCAAATGGATGTCTCTCAAAAAATTTCTGGAATTTTAATCTATCTGGATTCGATCCTGGTCTCTCAGAAAAGTGAGCTGTCACCTTAACCACATGGGCATCTGGCCATCTGTGAATTATATTCATTTCTTATTATATATAATTCTTAAAAGTTTCAAGTATTCACTGTGGTTGAAATAAATGAATGCTTCTTTGTTATATTTCTAATGTATGCCATTACAAACCTCAAAAAAGTTTTAGAGAAGTAACTCTGATTACTATAAAACCCAACTTATTTTTATTTTTCAACCAAAAAAATTATGTAACTCGATTAAATTATATTCAAATGGCAGAAAAATTGAAAATGATACTAAGAAAATTTTTCAAAGTGCCTCGAGATTTCTTGATTTTCTAAATATTTAAATTTCCCTGAAAATTTTGTTTCTTCAGACTTTCCATTTGAATTAAGTTGTGTAATCAGGAAAATTACAATACATCTGTATTAAACTTATAGTATATTTATTAATTTTTGAAGAGACTGACTGATAAAAAATTAACAATAAAAATTTTATCTAAATTATTAATACTTTTAATAGCTTATTACTCGCTTATGAATAAAAATAAATTTATTTATTTATCTATACTTTAAAAAATTTTTCAATAAATGTTTCTTATTGAAATTTTCAATTTTTCTAGCATTTGAATTCAATTTAATCTAGTTACATAACTGTTCTTGTTATATATATATTTAAATATAATTAAATACATATACCTTCATCTGAAATATCTGTAACTGTTTCAGTAACTTCTTTTAAAATTTTCTGAACAGCCATGAGATTAAAAATGCATCATTCATATAATACTCCTTTGGTTTTTTAACTCTTGCAGCTTCATTTTCAAAATCTTTATTAAACATTGATTTTTCTAAAACAAATATAAAGATAAATTATTAAGCAAGTAAATAAAAACATTTTAATACAATAATAATAGCATATTTAAAAACAAAGGTATTAAAATTTTAAAATGTTTCTATGTAACTTTGTACCAATGAAAAATACATATTTTAATTAAAATAAATTATCAAAATTACTAATAATTCTTTAATAAAAATATTCAAAACAAGCTATATTCTTAATGTTATGATTTTATTTTTATTCTGTTGTTTAAATAAATTTTTTGCTATATTTATCCATTACAACGATGTGACAATGGAAGAGTTGAGTGGCAAGATAAATTAAGAACAGAATCTCATTGGAGATAAAAATAAGATAAAGGAATATATACATATGAAAGGTTGGAAGTGGTAAAACAGGAGTACAGCTTGTACAGCTTGTTTCACAAATTTTGGCCAAGCTGTAAAAATGCACTGTAGCAGGGACTATTCTATTTGCTTAGTGAAGGGGTTTGATAAATCCTTGACAAGGTAACTATGCATTATCAAAAAGGGCCTAGAACTTTAAAATTATAGGTAACATTGAAAAGAAAGTACAGTACATAAATGATAATGATTAATAAGTTAGAGATCTGAAAAACATAAATCATATCTAACAAGAAATTATTTAATGTGACATCATCACAATGCTGGGCTGCAATTTTCAATCATATTTTTAATAATTTTAAAATTTAAAATAAATGCTCTCCACCTCAAGTTAGTAATGTCTTGCCCCTGTACATCATACTTTTCCATTAACAATAGAGTAGTGCTAGTCATCTATCTAACTCCTTTCAAGGAAAAATTTTTGAATTGAAATAACTTCCAGTTTGCATTAAATATTCATATATAGTTAATCAAGACCTCTTGTCCTTAAGGTTTCTATATGTGGTATCATCTTTCATCTATCTAACTCCATTCTCAAGGTTAAGGAAGAACAGATAGACAAATGACAATGGGGATTTATAGATCTATAATTTTTTCAAATTGCAGCCCAAAAAGAAAAAAAAACGATAGTCTTAGCAGAATATGTGTTAAAAAAGATATAGTGTGTTCAATAGGAAAATGTTTAATTAAAAAAAAAAGGCTGGTAAAGAATATATCATATTAGCAGATTTATGAATAATTCACAAGTTGTTTAAAACAAATAGTAAACTATTTAAAACAGCAGTTTAAAACAGTGTAAAACAATTCCATTAATATCCAAAGTACTTAAAGAAACATCAGTGAAATGATCTAGTCAGGTAAAATAAAGTGTTTTCTTTTAACTACCATAAAAAAAAAAACTCAAAAGTACTAGTGGAAAGATGGATCACAAACTAAAAATCAAAAAGTAATGATAATTAAAGTAGATAAGTTTAATGATAGTTGTTAAAATGTGTGAAAATGTTGTTTGCAAAACATAGAAAGGTATGAACTACACTAAAGAATATTGTAACAAGAGAAACAGATTATTTTTATACTCAATTGATAGTGAAAGTGAACATGATTGATTACATTACTATTTATGATGTAATGATACATTCATACTCAAAGAATAGTTCAAAAGAACAATAAAGATTGTCTTATAGAATCAGCTAAAAAATAAAGAAATAGATTATAAAATATAAAAAGGAATGATAATAATAACAAATAAGAAAATAAAAGACATTTTAAAATTTTAATAATTGAGACAGAGTTAGCCAATTCTGTAAGCCACATAGAAGAATGTGGTTTACAGAATTGGGTGCATCCTCAAAATCTGATTGATTTTGATTAAACTTTATCACTTTCCATTAATTGTGATGAGGAATCCAAAAAATGTAATAAAAAAGGGGGTCTGTGACTTTGTTTTTAAGATATATCATAGCACAAGTGTGTGTAACAAAGCAATATTGCATGAATCACACAACTTTGTCAGGTGATGTTCTATAGTTGCTAGCACGTCTTCTATATAGGTGCACGCAATGGTGTTTTTATTTTTGATAAAATAGATCTAAATTCTCTTAGTACACTCAGATGCATTGGAGAACATGGAAATTGTCACTTTAATTCCTCTGTATATCAGAGGACTTATAGAACTGAGTTTGTTCTCAAAATTAAATGGGCCAATTTTGATAAAACTTTGCCATTTTCCATTAATTATGATGAGGAATCCAAAAATGCAATGAGAGTACATTTAACTCTATAATCTCTGAAAACTAACTCCATCTTTGTTGCTAATGACTAAATTGTTTTTACTCCTTAGGCTTCAGGAAAACTTGTATAGCAAAACTAGTCTATCAACTTTTCAATCATCCAATTTTGTTTTTAACGAATAAGGCTGATTTCATGTTTAAAGAGTTAAATGTAAAAAACAGGAATCCAAGACTTTGTTTTTGATATACAGAGGAATTAAAGTGACAATTTCCATGTTCTCCAATGCATCTGAGTGTACTAAGAGAATTTAGACCTATTTTATCAAAAATAAAAACACCATTGCGTGCACCTATTTTCCATTAGGTACTGTACATGCAATGGTGTTTTTAAGAACAAAGCAATCGATGAAGACTACTTTGTTCTTGAATCATTTCTCCATGTCGGCAAGTACAAGGATACAGTAGCCTCTTTTGTGGCGGCAAGTGCAAGCATTGCTTCTTTCTTTCCAGTTACATCTCAATTGTCCTAGTTACTTTGTCTAATCTTTTCGTCTCAGTTATTGATAAAAAACAGAAGTATGTGTTAAGTTTTTAATCATATTTTTATCATAGTTAAATACTCTGATGATGAGATTTTTGAATCCTAAAAAATTTATTAAATATTTTGTTATAAAATGGCAGTCTTAATTCTTATCATCCATATTTATTAACTTATTAATTACACATTATTAACTTAGACTTGAAGAACAATATATTGCTTTAATGTAAACAAGTTGTTTTTACTATTTTAAAATCTATATTAACTGATTCCTGAATTATGAGATCTCACATTTAAAAAAAAAAAAAAAAAAAAAACTGAAGAAAAATTGCGAGATTCTTTAGATAAGTGTAACAGAAAAAAGGTTAAAAAATTGTTTTAAATAATAAAACACACTGGTATAGTTATCTGTTAATTTTCTAAATGATTTTATCCCTGGCTTTTTTTTTTTTTTCAGTTTTCTTCTATATTCTAAAAATAATGTAAAAAGTATGCAACACATGTATTAAAATTCGCATTATTAAGCAATTAAGAAATTTATAAATTACACAAATCGGAAGATAATTAAGAAAAAAATCGCATTGATATCAGTCGTTTCACAGCTTATTTATAATTTTAAAACGCTAAATTATTCTAAATATTTAGCTGAATCACTATTCTCCTCAGATGTAACAGTACAGTGTGTCTAAATCACAGTTAATTTACTACAGTGGGTGATCGGACTACGAACAAATCGGATAACGATCTTGGAACCGTTAACCGATTAGTAAACTTGTTTAAGTGTTCAGTTTCAAAATATAAACAATGCTTAAATAATTTTAAAAATATTTATTTATTGAAAAATAAAGTTATTTTTACTTACTCTTCGTTTAAATTTAATACAATTAGTATTATTTACAAATTTATGTCATTATTAGAATTAATAAGGAAAATTAGTGAATAGCAAAGGTTCTATTAAAAGAAAAACAATCACAATCATAGGTTGAGTAATACTAATAACTCTTGCCAACCTTTCGCTTCGGATATTTTCGTGAAGTAAACACTCATCACTTCGCCTCCAAAATTCGAACTTCGCCCCCTATCGGTTGGTAAATTTATTTTATTTTAAAATCAAAATAATTAAATTTACAGTTTAACTAACTTTTAATATATTCAATTCATAAAGCAGAAATTTTATATATTTTTTTAAAAATTAAAAGTAATATAGAATAATAAAATTTTATCATTTTATTATTGATTTTTATGTTAAAATATATATACTGTACTGTATAAAGATAATATCCGTAGTTAGGGGCACCCATACATTGGGCACTTGAGGCATATGCCCCCTTTTCGTCTCGGTTGCCCTTTTCATAATCTACAAGAGAAAATTTCAAACAACAGAAAATTCTGCTTATTCTGCTAATATTAAAAAAAAAAACTAATGAACGATATTTGTCCAATGACCCATGAAAATTTGTCGTATGTTGACCAAAATCCCATCCCTTGTTTTCGAGGAAAAGTTAGCCCCGAGTGCAGCCAGCGTCATCTTATAGGAGCGCTGATCCGACGTTGAATCAGAGTTTGAACTCCTTGCTTAATGCACGATGTCTTTTTTTTTATAGTTTGTGCCCATCTTCTTTTTCATAGTCTACGGGCGCCGCTGTCCATAGTCTTGATCTTTTTCTTAGTTTATGGTTATTAATAAATAACACTTTCTGTTTCTATTTGATTATCTCACTAATGTTCTTTTATACATTTTGGATATTACCACTCGTCCATCAGTCCATATCTAAAAAGAGATAAAACGACTACAGCCTTGACAGAATACGTAATACAAAAAGATGTAGTTTAAATGGGATCAGAGTCATCGAGAGCTTGTCCAGCGGTAGAACGGATCCTTTAGTTATCTGCATTTTTTAAACAAATGAAATACGTAGAATGTTTCTTTATTAATAAAAGAAGTCTTAAATATTTTTATTTTCTTAGTTAAAAATAACATTAATTTTATATAGATAGGAACTTCTTCGATTTCCTGTTTTCTCCGAGCCGGGAGATAAATCTCCAGCACTCTTTCTCTCGATCGCTATGAATGAGAATGTTCAATTGAGAGAAGGCTGATAAAGAAGAACGAGTCAAATTAGCAGATTTTTGAATAATTCATGAATTGTTAAAAACAATTAGTTTCAATTGAATGTATAGAATAATAAAAACGTTTTACACAATTATATATTATTTTTGCACTGCATTAAAAGGATTAGAAAAAATTTATCATCTCACTGGTTTATTCTAAATCGCCAGAACCTCACGAGTCTCCAGTTTCCATTATTGGAAATATTATTACAGTATATTGTTGACAGAAATCATATATATATTTATTTATAATTGATAGAAAAGGTTAAGAAAGCAAAGGATTTGTATTATAAACGACTCAACTGACCAGATAATATGGTACGAATAACTCTTTATTAATACAACTAAACACTTCTATCAATACATCTAGCTAGTTCCTTCGAGCTACTCTCGCTCCCTTTCCGTGACGCCACCTCGGCACCTACTCGATTACATTTCGTTTATTTAAATCGTCAACATATATTACATTACATTTGATGTTTATCTAAATCATCAACATATATTACAGGATTAAAATGATTTTTTATATACAACTGTTCCGATACTAGAACAATGAAAGTTAAAAATAATAATAATACTGTAATAATAAATATAGTATATTCAATATCCAGATTATTAGCAATATTTACATAAAGCTATCCAAAATTTCGTTATGATTATTATTTAATGTAAATCAGCAAGAATGTTGTTCCAATTAGTGTTCTGTTTTAAAGTGATTATCATATCCTTTTTGATAGTGGATTCCTTTGTTTTGAAACTCTTATCAAAAATATTCGAAGTTGAGAAATATTGTTAGATACGCATTGGAAGTCAAGTCCGTTTCTCTCATTTTATTTCCGTTAGTTTTCATTTTATATATTTAAAAGATTTTACTACAAAACTTTCCTCGAAATGTGCATCACAGATGTTAGAATTCTGATTTAAACAATTTACTTATTTAGGCTATAATTTTGAGAATATTAAAAATGCGAGGTGATTAATTAAAGCACTACCCTCTGTTTTGGGAGGTCAGTTTGTTTATTTGTTTTATTAGTTACGGCAACGCAACACTTGGGCGATCTGCTTAAGGGGATGTCTTCTGCGAGGTTTTTTAAGGGTAACTGGCTCCTATTTAAGCGCTAAAACGCAAAGAACTACAATTTTAGATGTTTTCAATTCTACTATTATGCGAGAAGTGATTCATCATTTTTACCAATTTTCCACAGCGGCGATGTCGTCTGTTCGACTCGTTGTGTGGCATCACCGTCCTCTATGGATTCCCTTCACGAAATTTGGCATATCATCAAAAGACGTTCGCTCGACTTAACGTCTCTTTACTATAAGCTTTTTACACCGTTTTCAAAGTTTTTTCTAGCTGATAAAGCTGGACGGCAGGATAAATGGATGGTTACGGTGGCAGGCCACCGCTCTGGAGAACCTAACATCTAATTTGGAATGGTCGAAAAAAACCTAGGAATTTTTCGGAAGTGATCCGTCTGGATAAGTGACCGTTCCTCACCACCCAACCGCCCCATTGTGGCCGAACCCATAATGGGCTTTCAAAAAAAGCCATTAGTGCCCACAGGGCGAAAAAGTTTTAAAAAGCTGATAAATCGGCTTTAAAACAAAATTGATCAAAACGCATTGCTTTTCTTGGAAATCCATACATACTGAAAAACACGTTTCACAAAATAGTAACACTCTCGAGATCAGATAACTGTTGACAATGCAAATTATTCACACACTTTGACAGCGGTTACGAGAACAGTGCAGACGGAAATGACTAGTGCCATTAGTATTGCCTAAAAATTCAATCTCGGAACATACAGATCGTGTATATGATAGGATAAGGTCTCCTAGACTACATGGTTTTAGGGAGAAGGGTCACTTGTCTGGCCACAAAATGTTACCAGAACGGTGAAGGGGTAAAAATGTGCTGCGTGATTTATGAATGTTCTCATATATGTAAAAAATACAATAATGCTGTAAATATGTGATGAATAAAATACAATTTTTTGATAGAATGAACATAAATAGAATTTTCTTCAAATATAATAAAGAGTATTTATATATGATAATAACTTGTATTGTGAGTTGTTGCAAGTGAAAATAATCAAATAAATAAATAATGAAAAGTACTTTTAAGAAAAAAAATTAAGTTTATTGTAATACGGATGACCCGTAATAAAAATTTCTGAAACATTTTTTCTTTATCGATTAATTTAATTTCGAATAATTGAAAATTTAATCAGGCTAGTATAGAATTCGAATTTAAATAATAAAGAATGCATATATTTGGAAAACATTTATAAAAAGAATTTCGAATATTTGATGAGGTCTTAACAAATTTTAGCATATTTTCCGTTACAAAAGAATTTTTATTAAATTTGACAAGTTTATTCTAAGTATTGCTGAATTAGTAAACATTAATCTGATAGAATATAAATTAAGAGCATTATTTCTATTTCTCATAATTATTTTGTGATACAGTAATTAAATTATTTATTATTTAGCAATGGAAGAAAGTAAAGTAGAAGGAGAATCAGATAAATCATATTCCACAGAATCTCTCGAATCTCTGAAATATGATGAAATGGATGAAATGGAATCTGAAGAAGAAGAGGAATTCATATTCACAGAAGAAGATATCGAAAAAGAAATTCCTTTGTGTGAATTAAAGGTACAATACAACTTTATGTATGATTACTTGGGGCTGTCTGTAAATTACGTAACGCAGATATGGGTGATTAATGGGTATGCAGGTAATCGTTACAATACGTTACAAAAGAATGTGATGTTACAGAAAACGTTACCTAACAATAGTGTTTTTAAATTGATTACTGTTGTTTCTAAAATAAATAGGGATAAAGGTTGGATAACAGAATAATTCATTTTACTTTTCCGGCTGTTTTATATAACAGAGGAAAGTATGACCATCGGTCAAAAATGAACCCCCAACAGGGTGTCCCAATGTGCTCCCACATTGAGGCACATTTGTCGTCAGGGGCACATTAAATTCCCAAGGGAGCTTGTTTCATTTTATTTTTAAATTAGTTAGGCCTATAATTTTTATCACAGAAAACTGTTTTACTAATTACAAAATTAAAATTAAAATATTTGTTATTAACTGAAAATTTTTGTTAGGGGATCGTGATTGTTCGATCAAGTACCGAGATACCATTGTATTTGATATACATGGTAACATAGAGGAATTAATTAACTGCGATACTTGAATATATATACAAGTAAATTATTATATATATATATAATATAATACTACATAACTAAATAACTATATAATATATAGTATATATTATATAGTTATATAGTTATGTAGTATAAAAGATGGTCCTTTTTTATAGTCTGCGGGCGGGCTCTGCTTCTCCCAAGATTTTTGCATTTTTGGACTCGGGACCTTGAAATGTCGAAAAATGCAAAAAATTCGGGAATAATTTCTGTATTATGGATGTTGATGTGTTTGTGTGTGGCACAATTTTGTTTATCTCTTTGAAGCTTAATAACGCCTGTGCTTTTTGTCGAAATTTTCTGAAATTTTACAGGAAGGTTTGTTTATTAGGGGGGATTGATGCTATTAATTTTGGTGAGTAAAGATCGAGGGGTGGGGAGATAAAGGGGATCGTGTGTATCTTCAGTATGGTCAGACTTAATGCCGATTTTACTCGTTATTGGCATTTTTAACTTTTCATAAAACTTATACCTACTCTCAAAATTGAGTTTTTGGCCATTTTGTAATAATTAAACATATAAAAAGTTTTTAAATAAAATATCGTAACAGATGGCGCCATTAAATGTTGCCGGAAAAGTTAAGCAACTGGTTGCTAAATTTTTTGTTTCTGAAACGTTTCCTAATATTCAGTAGGCAGCATTTCAGAAACAAAAAAGTGACTTTGTAGGTAACTTTGTACGTTATACGTGTAATTACTAAAATAATGTAACGTTCAATATCCTTAGTACAATTAAGATGGTTGATCGTGGATATGCATTACATAATTTTGGGCTTTTGCAATGGCATTAAGGATCATTACAGGTATGGAATGATAAGAAAAATATAAAATTAGAATTACGTAATTTATGGACGATCCCTTGGTAATATTTTGAAAAAAAAGTGATTTACTAAAAACCGTTTAGAACTATTTTGGAGAACGTAACGATAAAGGGGAAAGACACGGATTTGGAAAAGCAATTTATCCTAATGGAGATGTTTACGAAGGATGTTATAGTTATAACAGAAAACATGGTGATGGCAGATATGTTTATCACAACGGAGCAGAATATAAAGGTACATGGCGAGATGGAGAAAAGGATGGTTCGGGAACCTTACGTTATCCAGATCAAAGTGTTTATAATGGTAGATATTAATCAAGAATCATCGTATTAAAATACTTAATCATACTAATGGATATGATTTTTTTTAACTTAAAGGCCAGTTTTATAGGAATAATAGACACGGTTCAGGTCATTATTATTATACAAATGGAGACGTATATGTCGGAGAATGGCAATATGATCTGCGACATGGTTATGGTACTTATAGATATAGTAGAACAGGCGCGCAGCTTCTCGGCAATTGGATAAAAGATCGAATGTCGGGATCAGGAGAATTGATTATGGGAAACTTTATATTTGTCGGAATATTTAAAGATTGCCAAGTAAATAGTCTTCTATAATATAATATCAAGTGTCAATTTTATTTATGTATTATAAATTTACATTAGGCTACTCATTAAAATTTAAATTGTATATTTAGTATTAAAATTATTAAGCACATACAGTATAATTATATTTACGTAAACTTAAAATATATTGTATGTAAATAAGTAACAAATTTGAATGTTATTTTCAGCCTGTAAAAGGAAGATTTTTATTTGAGAGTAAAACAGAACAATATGGCGAATTTATATCAAAAAAACTAGATGATCGTAAATCAGGTCTAGTATGGAAAGGAGGAAAAGTACAAAAAGCTGCCCTTAAAGGGGGAATCGCAGATATTGTTAAATTTGACGAAAAAGAATATTTATTGGCTGCAGAGAAAGAAGACGATACGCTTGAACCAACAGTTTCAGTTGATGCGTTGCCTACAAAACAATCTATTATTGATATAGATTTAAAGGATGAAAACACTGAAAGATTTTCTACAAATATATCTCAAGCCGAAGACATCATAGAATTAACAGAAGAGGAAACGCCAAAATAGTACTTTTAATTTCACTAAAAATTTTTTGTTTTAGTCTATTTTGATAGAAATAAAATCTACTAATTTAATGTTTGTTAATTATAAGTTCATATCTTGTAAAATATTAAATAAAACTATAATAAAATTATTGATTTAATTATTTTCTTTAGTTCATTTATGCGTGCAAAGATTAATTAACAAATTAAATGATAATAAATATTTACCTCTTAAGTGAAAGGTATTTAGAGTATTACGTAATTAATAGTTTAAACATTTTCTGTATTCATATAATCATTACTTAATCTGTTATTTTATGCTTCATTTTACTATACATTTTATAATAATATTAATTATTATTATTATTATAAGTTTGTAGATGAGATAGAGAAATTACAAAAAAACTATTTTGTAATTTTTAAAATGCCAATATGGAAATATAAATTTATATACTGAGAAATTCCATTAAATTATTTTAAAAAATTAACAGTAAAAATAGAAGTATATCTATATTATTGTATAATTTAATCAAAATTTAACATCAATTTTTATTAGCTTATATGAATATGTAGCTATAAGTTATATTGATTTATTTCTTATAAACAGCCCAGGGAAAATTACATAGAAGAAAACATTAAAATCATATGACATAGAAAATTGATACGAAAGTGCACTTAAAATATTTTTAATAATATTCCTGAAATGTAAAGGGTACATTTGTATCTTCCTGTAACAAAAAACAATTTAAACAAAACATTTGAAGTTTCTAACGGCAACTTTATAAAAATGTTTGCTTAAATTTTCTTTTATTTATTATGTTGTAATAAAATATTTTCTGTATCAATAATTTATGTTATGACCTAGATTTACTCTCTGGCAAATTTTATTTGTGGAAAATATATGCCATATAAATTGAAGAAAAATTTACAAAAATTACATATTATTTCAGTAAATTCGTATTTATTAACTTTTCTTTGATGTTTATGTTTTAGACTATATACAACGTAAATAAAAATTTTCTACAAGAATAATTGTCTAAAGACCGATGCAAGAACTCATAGCATATAATTTATATGCTTTATACTTATAATTTATGTATTTTATTAAAATTATCAAAATTTAATTTTTTTAATTAATTTATAAATTTTTGATAAAAATAAAAATTGCGAATATGGAAATTCAGACACTCATGAAACCTTTAAAAACAGCAAAAACAATTTAATCACGAACGTTTTCGACCATTTTTAAAGACATCTTCAGATAGAATACAAAATCGAACTTACCGAAAATACTCCTAACAGATAATTTTCCGAACATAAAATGCCGGTTGATTTAAATTAAAAATTAAAATAATAAAATAAAATTAGAAATAAATAAGTAGATAAATAATAATAAAAATAAACAACGTAAATAAATTTAAAAAATCTGTTATATTCTATTTTCGCTAAGTTCGATTTTGTATTATAAGTTCTATTTGACGAGTGTCTGAATAAATTTTTGATTTTACATTTTTATAAATCGCCATTTCTCAAAGGCAGAATAAAGATTTATAAAAATGTAAAATTGAAAAATTATATGCAGTTAGATTAAAAAATATATTGTGATGAAGATCAGAATTTATTAAAATTCAAAACTGTATTCATTAAATACAGTACATATATAATGAAGATTTATAATAAATAAGGAATTGAAGTCTTCGGGGACGTGTAGTGCTAATCCTCAGAATCACGTTTCTGAGGTAATTGAATTTAAATGTTTGAAAAAAAAATCAAAAAATGAAAAATTCCAAAACGATGAGATAGCAGCCACATTCTACAGACGATGTTTTGAGAGCAAAAATATTAACACACTAATACTCATACGATTTTAGGACTTTTTCGAACATTCAAACTCAGTTATCCCGTTTGCTCTTTCAGTTAGCCTATGCCACTTTCTCCGGTTTGTTCGCGTCGATACGGTCATATTGCACTTTACCATATGGGCAAACTAGGCATTTGCCCATGACTGCAAATGGCGAGGGTAAAAAATTTTCACAAATTTATATAAAATTTTCAGGTGTATTACTTTTATAAATATTTTTTATTTTTATTTATATTACACGGCGAGAGTTGAATATTAATTAACGGAGCAAGGTCTATATCTTGCTCCGTCAATTAACTGATGACAACACTAGATGTGTCAAGTTAATTTTATCATTGTATCTATTTATATTTATAATAATTTTTCTATTTATCAGCTTAATTCGAGAAACTTGTTCTAAATTTACAATTTAAAGTTTCTATTACGGATGTTTGGAAGAAAAACACTCAAACAGAAAACTGTTTCGTTTTATTCATTACACGTTATTCTTAATTTTAATGGCGCGAAGAAATCAAATGACGCCACACAGTATCAAAAATAATTTTGACATCAATCCGAAGCAATTTCCGAATGTTTAACATGTCTCATGGCAACAGTTTTTTTCCTTTTTTAATTTAGGATAAACAAAATATGCCTTTTTTTCAGAAATAAAGTCATAATAATTGAAATTTAAAACTGAAGTAAATACATAAAATCTCATTTAAATATGTTTCAATAATAATTATCTTATTAGGATAATAAATTAAGACGATCAAAATAATTAGAAAAATATATACATGTGCCAAAATAATAGAATACACTTTGTTGTGATAGTTTGTGGCAACTATGTTCTTACTGACTTATTTCTTGCATACAATAAGGTGAAACCTGGACCCCTAAGCGTTTGATGATCAATATCGAAACGAATTTAAACCATCCGATTGTTCGGAAACCGATACAAATTTTTCCATAAGAAACAATGTAAATGGATTAATCCATTCCCGACTCCTAAACAATGCATTTTTTTACTTTTTTAGTAGCATTTCATGCATAAAAATGCATACAAATGCAATATAATATAATATTATCTATATCTATATCCATTTTCAATATATATTAAAAGCAAAATGTTTTATTACTGCCAACTGAAACCAACACTAACACTTTACAAAAAGTGCTATAAATGAAGTCAACTCTGCTTGCCTGGATGAAATATAACTAAATCAATCAAGACAGACAAGTACTTTATCCACACTTTCCGAAATATTATATTTCAGTTGATTTGATTTAAATTTAATTTTGATTTTATTTTTAATTCTAGTTTCTGTTTCAGTTTCGGTATGAAAAGCAGAGTTTTAATTATTTTATTACTTTTAATTTTAATTAACTGGCTACCTAGTATTAATTAATAAATATTATATTAAACATTAATATTATAATATATAATATATGGTTAATGTTATCTAAGGTTCTAAAATGGCTGCGCTTCGAACTGTTCGTGGTCCAGACAGACTCCTCCCGGAGGGGAGCCGCCGGCAGATCGCCGAGTGCCAAACTACACTAGTTATTGATTCACGGTAGTTCTTGAACAAAATAAAAAAAAAAAAAAAAAAAAGGAAACGTCTATTAACAATGTAGCTAATCTAACGGAAACGAAACGAATCTAACCGAAGCGCCGCCATTTTGGAACCATAGATAACATTAACCTAATATATTAATAAATTTGAGTAAAACGCATTTAAAAACGAATTATTAGATGTCATTTATATTATGCAAAAGTCAATTAACATGGTTTTTATTAATTAATTTTATTTAAATTGAATTGGTTTGTGTACAGAAAACTTGAAGTAGTATCTTACTCACATGCGCATTGAAATCAAATTTAAATAACAAAGTCATCTTGAGTTCGTTTTGTGACGTCTAATGACATGAGATGAATCTCGGCGCCATTGTTTAATCGGTAGTCCTATCCCGTTGATTGGTCGGGCCGTCGACTTTCTTTAACATATAGGCATATTTTCTACATTTTGAACAATGTGCTTTAATCGCAAAACCATACTAAGACAGTATTTTACAGATGCACGAGTAATCAGTCGTTATTTTCCCAAGCATGGCCTCCTCGCTCACAAGATATTACCCCTTGCGACTTTTTGTTATGGGATTTCCTGAAGGACAACAACTACCGTAGAAGACCTGCATCTGTGATAGAGCTGAAGGACAATATTCGGCATCATATTTTGGATATTTCGGCAGACTCACTGCGTTCAGATGTGTAAAATATGGTTTTGCGATTAAAGCATATCGTTCAAAATGAAGGAAGACATATTGAGCAGTTTTAGTGCTACATAGTCAACATTTTTATGTGCACGCATATTTAATATTTTCATGTTCTTCAGCATCGCCTATCAACAAATTTTTGTACTTTTTTTTTTTTTATTTGAGAAATGTCAAGCGCATCATTTGAATTATCTGTAGTTCAAATTTTGTCTCATATCGAGCAGTAGAACGCATTCCAGAGCTCTCTGAAGTGGGAAACTTATTTCTTTTTAACCCTGTATATGTTTTTAATTTTTGAAGTTAATAGTCCTTGCAATGTCATAACTAGCTTTTCATGTGTTCTGTGTAAGATTTTACTTTTTGTTCCCTTTTTTGATAAAAATAAAAAAACAAACACAATGGAAATGGTCGGTTAATTTTTAACTTTAATCAAAACGGAATCACCTCCCACAACGGCAAACTGTAAAATTTGAAAATGAAAATATAGATTTGATCATTTTTTGATAGCTGATTTCAGTGTTCCCCTTTGTTGTGTGCTTGCGCGCCCATTGTACCTGCCTAGTTATGGCGCTGAGGAGTTTTTGCATGCAAAATTTTCTTGAAATCTGCCTGTCTTTTCGACACATCTTTCATGATTCCATACTGTCTGTTAAATCAAGATAGATCAGGTTTCCTGGAAGTTTATGGTCAGATCAATCTGAATCTACCCAACCAACTAAACATTCAATTTTCATAAATATTTTCAGAATTTTAAATTTAAATGATGTTTATTCTGGCTCACGAAACATTAAGTAATCCAAATTGCATAATAACATAGTCTTTACCTGACATTTGCATTTTTTCTATCTAGCTTTGATTTAATAAAAGCGGTTTGTCTTAGAAAAAATGTTAATTTTCAATGATGATTTACCAAACAATGCGAAATGTTTACATGTAAATTATTGGCGCCTATTAAATGAAACGCAACAAGACGTAATAGGAAGGGCATACAACGCGTTAACTTACCATTATAAAAA